TAAAATAAAAAATTTATATCTTTATGTTTGAAGCCTGAAATGTGGCAAAAGGTTGAAAAGTTCAAGGGGGCCGAATACTTTCGCAAGGCACTGTACATGTTGTACACATTGTTGGAAACAGTGCAAAATATTTCAGTATTGTTTAATTTCTTTGAGTAGCATATCTGGGTACTTGGCTTATTTCCTCCTCTTGATGGTAATCAAGAACTATAGAAAATAGAAGATAGAATCAACAGAGGACTGCAGGAGATGTTCGGCCCACATTATCTAGGCAATTTGTCCACATGATTATACATTTGGTCAAGGGGGCCTAAAGAAAAATTGGAAAACATTATCTCGTTTTTCATTGCCTTACAATTTTAAAGATGAGCATACATTTAATTTTTCATACAGTTTTGACAGACTTTCATAGCTAAAAAGGCTGCTACTATGAAGCAGTGACTCACTGCTAATGCTTTTTTGATGACTTGCTGACAACATGAAATTTCATAGTTAAAAATGACCATCAAAACTTCAGAGCAGATTATAGAAACACTTCTCCATCTCTCTTCCTCCCTGTCAGCCTAGAGGAGTCTGGTTTCTAATCATTTGCCTTTGAGGATGGCACAGTTCGGACTGAAACCTGCAGTCTCTAGGTGTGAGGGCTCATCCTGATCATCACACTAAAGTTTTCACTAGAGAAGTGTCCCAGCAGCCCAGTGTCTGTTGCCCACAGCTGTGTTTCTGTTCATCAGGTGACCCCAGACGCACCAGACACAGACAGTAAGCAGAGAAGGAAGAGAGAAACGGTAAGCAGTTCTCAGTATGGCAGCTTAAATGGTCAGAAAATAACTAAAAATCATTAGGTCTGTGTCATTTCCATCTCTTCACATCACCCAATTTGTTTCTTTTATTTCTACATGTTATTATATTTTCTAATTTTATATTCCGTACAGTGTACAGTAAATGATGTTGGCAGCTGTTTCCCTGCAAACACTTGACAAGCCACGCTGGGGCCTGTGCTGTGAGACTCTTCAAAGATTTTAGATTACA